GTTTGGGTGACGGACAAGAAGTGAAGGGAAGAGTTATTATGAAAGACAATATAATAGCGATTATAGAGTTGCAAAAGAGGACAACGGGTTATCCAACGGTAGAGTTCGCCGATTCAGACCATCTGGAAATCGGCGACGAAGTGATGGCACTAATGAACCCTCGGTTTGGCATTTATAATCACATCTGTGAGGGTCGGGTCACTGAACCACGACTTAGATCAACACTTTTGGCTAAGATTCAACGCATAGCTGACCCCTCTGTCCACTACTATATCGTTCACACGGCTATCAATAAACCCGACGGATCAGCACTTCTTGATTGTGAAGGAAAGGTTTTGGGCATGAATTTTATTCAACACGATATATACATAAATATATGCATTCCTTATAAATTCCTCAAAAGTATTTGTTTTTATAGTCTTTTTAAAGCGATTTATAATTTAAACATTATTTTCATAGATAAAGTGGAGACTGTGTTGATGGATATGGAGGGCACCCAACTGTCCGTTGGACTCGTTGTCTATCCTTACGATCCCAATAATAAAAACTGGTTTATAGCCAATGGTGTGGATGAGGAGCACCTGAAGGACACTCCAGGACTCATGGTTTGGGAAATAACAGACGACTCAAAAGCCCATCGGTTTGTGTGTCTAATGTTTGAATATATTTATTGAATAATTTATTTTCTAATTACAGGACAGATATTTATAAATATAATATAATAACGCATATAAATGGCATTGAAATCAAATCAATCGCTGCTATGAATAGTTTTGTGGCGACTGAAAGTGTGGACAAACATCTGATCCTTACTGTCAATGGTATTGAACATAGGGTTGAATTGAATTCATCACAAAATAATTATCACATTATTTGAATATTTGGTTTAATAATATGTTTGAATTTAGATATTAATTTTATAAATAAATGTTAACACAAAAAATTTTCTATACAGTTCAATAATTTTTAAGAATTTCAGAATCAGAAATTTTTAATTTATATAATTTTTATATGTAAAATACTTATACCGTGGATTAATTGTGATAATTACTGCTAAGATTATCTTATTAATTGAAAAATGTTTCGATACCTAATTTTGTTGATTATTTGCAAATTTAAAACAAAACTTCTTATAAATAGAAACTAAATTATTTAAATAAAAATAATTAATTGTCTGTAAAACAGGTATAAACTGTTGGAGTTTTGTTCACAATTAGTATTTTCTAAATTAAACTTTTATTTCTTTTATATAATTTACGCTTAATCGTAAAATTATAAATAACAACAATTTAAAATACTAATTAATAATGAACATATTAAAAAATGAATTTTAATGTCAAAAAAATATTGCTAAAATTACATTAATATTTGTATTAAAATCTAAATTTTTAATTTGAATAAAATGTTACAAATTTTGTCTTTAATTTATGATTCAATGAATTGGTTTTTAAAGAATAGCACACTTTGAGTGAGATTTGGACGCAATTGAATCAATGAATTTTTCATCCACTGTCGAGCCATTGATTTTAAATGACACTAATTTGGGACAAGTATTTAAAATACGGAGCAAATCGTTTGGTATGTACTGCTCTTTATAACTCTCGTCATCACTAATTATCAACGATTTTAGTGCCGATAGTCTTAAGATAAATTGCGGCCATTTTCTGTCCGTAAACTTAATGTAACGAATATCCAGTGTTTGCAGTTTGTGTTGATTGCATACAATCTGTTCAAACAATTCCTGTGGAAATCCTTCCAAATTGATCCATAAGTGTGACAAATGTGGCCAACCATTCAATGGCTCTAATTTGGACCAATCGATGGCAGTATTGTCCATTAATTTGAATGTTAAACTCAGACGTTTTAATTGAGACATAAATTGCATTGAATTCATAATCTTTGTAATTAATGTCGTATTCTTTAATACAAAATCCAATGAAATCTTTTTGAGTTTCACACACTTTATGCCAATTCTCTTTAGACTATCGTATAGTGAATAGTGAAGAGACACCGATAAATACCACGAATTAAATTTTAATTCTTTTAATTCTGTAAATTGAGACAATTGTGCCAAGAATTGAGTCAACTTTGTCTCGGAATTTTCCAACGTATTAAAAGTATTACATGTTACGACTAATGTAGTGAGACGTGAGCCATAGTATGCTATGAATTGAGTAAATCTTTTGGCATTGAATTCCTCTTCTTTCCAAACGATGATAAACTTTTTTAAACGTTTGAATGACATTAAATGGTTGTCTTCGGCCGAAAAAAATTGGAGTCAGTCCACGAGTATATAGACAACACAATTGTGGAAAATGTTGTTCGTATGGAAACTGAGTCTTTTCAAGGATTGCAATATTGGTAACCATTGAACCGAATGGAGACATGTTTTCATAGTAATTCGGTTGAGTGAAATAGTAATCAAAACTAATACTTTTCAGACGTGGCAACCGATGCAACACTTGCAATAATTTATCCGTATCTTCAATCCAAACGCACTCAAACTTTTGAATGATTTTAATGTTTGGGCATTTGTTGGCCATAAAATCAATAAATTTTATATTCGACTCATCGGACCTATCTAGGTGAAGAACCTGTACGTAAAACACTTACTCGCAGTTTAGCTACAGTTAGAGTCAATACCACAGTATTTATGTAGCAACCTTAACGAAACTGTGTGTAAGCACAGCTCGAGACGGGAGTTTAGTGCCAAATCTTTTATCAAATGAATGATATGATAGCAAAAGTCGGGCCAAATCATAGCCGAAGCGATCAAACGAGTCTTTGGCATACATTTGATCCTATATTTAACGTACAATATATTTGTATAAATGTTTTAAACCTTTGTATATCTTATTGATTACCATGTTATTACTATTGGGAATATTATTTGGGGTTTGTTGATATAAACTTCGAAACCAATCACACAATCGTGTCATAGCTTTATATCTTAAAATATAATAACTTTAATTCATATTATTTTCGAGAAAATAATAATCATTTGAATTGTCCATAATTTATAATAATAATTGTTATAACGAGATAAATTACTAATTAATTATTCACTAATTATTTTTTAAAACTGTATATCAAATAATATTTTAGTAGTTATTTATAATCACAATAATGTTATAAAAAACCTATTTTGCCAAAACTAGAAGCAATTATCATATCATTAAATCTTAAAATGATTTATTTATTGAAAATACATTTTTAAAAGACAAATATAAATGCAAATAATTTATAATTAAAATTTGGCTAAAACTTGGAGTTCAACCAAATAGAAGAGGCGATCGATTTCTTTGATAAACATCTTTATGTTATGACATCTGTCCGAAGGGTTGGCTAAACTCAGTGAACATTTCTCGGCGTCGGTATAGATCTGTCCGAATAGTTGAGAGATCTATTCATTTGGAAACAAAGTATACATTTAGACAATAATTGTTCAAAACAACACAAATACTCACTTCTCCTATAATTCCTGACATAACGTTATTTTTAAAACTTGAGGCAAACTTTCCAGAAGTCAAACCCGTTAACAGAGCGGCGAGTTTTGGCTTAAATTGTGTTAAATCTAAACCCAATGCCGTTTCAAATAGTGAACATTTGGCCTCTTTTATGGTTTCATTGAAGTGAACGGCTCTCCACTGTTCGTCGCAAAGCATGCCTTTAGTTATTCCCGCAATAGCTTTGATGGCATCGGATCTCTCCTCCGGAG